AGGGTTTTTTTGCTATTTGGGATGGGCTCACCAGCCAAGCACTGTGTTACTCCATAGTCACTTCGCATCAATTGATGCTGCTAGCATGAACTTTAAAATGCACAGCTGATTAGGTGGGTGCCCTTACCCTGTCATGAAACGAATCTCCATCTGAGGGACTATCTGTTCCTTGTCTCTCTCACTCTGAAACCCGAACGTTACCAAATTTATACAGAATGATCCATGTACATTTCTTAGACTTGTAATGTTTATTGGATCCATTAAAACTGATGAAGATTCCAATAAAGAAATAGGTGGAAACTAAATGAATAAACCTATAGGTACAGCATCACATACCCTACAGGCAATTAGCTTACCTGTCTGAGCGAGGTGGGGGAGTGCAATGGAAAGCTATGGTAGTAGTAGCAGTGCAAGTCATGTGGATTACAAAAGGGTCATAAAAGCCTAAAGTGTATGCTAGCTTTGTAATGTGCACACATGCTTCCACATGCTGCATATTCCTGATTAAGAGGAAAATATCCTGGGACAGCAATATTCAGGTCACAATATTAGTCAACTTGCCAGGTATGGATGGCACCCAATGCATTGTTGGAGACCCTAATCAGTTGCTTAATTATTACCACCTAGTGTAACGAAATAAATGGTGCAACCTAAAATTTGCACAAAGGAAAAATACAGCTACAATTACAGGATTATTTCATTAAAACGTCAAAACAATAATGCAGTTTGTGGCTGATGCCCCAGCAAGCACAATCCATCACCCTATTTTAAACATTTAAGCCAAATTTAAAAGAAAAAGAACACACCCTTTTTTTTTTTTTACTTGGAACACATATTGAACTAGATATTCACAAAATAACCTTTATGGTTTAACTTTCATTTTCTTTTCTTTTTTAAACACAAATATTTGTATGTATTGAAATGTATTAAAAATGTTGTGGTGAACATTCTAAAAACTCTCTAATGATTTAGCCAAATCTCAAAATGTATTGTACATCATTAACACATATCAAGGCAGACTGAAATTGTTCAAGAATACTTTGAGAAATACGACAAAGAATTCATAGAAACATAGAATGTGACGGCAGATAAGAACCATTCGGCCCATCTAGTCTGCCCAATTTTCTAAATACTTTCATTAGTCCCTAGTCTTATCTTATAGTTAGGATAGCTTTATGCCTATCCCACGCATGTTTAAACTCCTTTACTGTGTTAACCTCTACCACTTCAGCTGGAAGGCTATTCCATGCATCCACTACCCTCTCAGTAAAGTAATATTTCCTGATATTATTTTTAAACCTTTGTCCCTCTAATTTAAGACTATGTCCTCTTGTTGTGGTAGTTTTTCTTCTTTTAAATATAGTCTCCTCCTTACTGTGTTGATTCCCTTTATATATTTAAATGTTTCTATCATATCCCCCCTGTCTCGTCTTTCCTCCAAGCTATGCATGTTAAGATCCTTTAACCTTTCCTGGTAAGTTTTATCCCGCAATCCATGAACCAGCTTAGTAGCCCTTCTCTGAACCCTCTCTAAGGTATCAATATCCTTCTGAAGATACGGTCTCCAGTACTGTGTACAATACTCCAAGTGAGGTCTCACCAGTGTTCTGTACAATGGAACGAGCACTTCCCTCTTTCTACTGCTAATACCTCTCCCTATAAAACCAAGCATTCTGCTAGCATTTCCTGCTGCTCTATTACATTGTCTGCCTACCTTTAAGTCATCAGAAATAATCACCCCAAATCCCTTTCCTCAGATGTTGAGGTTAGGACTCTATCAAATATTCTGTACTCTGCCCTTCGGTTTTTACGTCCAAGATGCATTATCTTGCACTTATCCACATTAAATGTCAGTTGCCACAATTCTGACCATTTTTCTAGTTTACCTAAATCATTTGTCATTTGGCTTATCCCTCCTGGAACATCAACCCTGTTACATATCTTAGTATCATCAGCAAAAAAAAAATTCAAGGTGCAGCCTTGGCATCTATATTCCCCAGATCTCAATTCGAATGAGCCTCTGTGGGATTGTGGGATGTGCTGGAACAACACTTCCATCCATGAAGTCCCCACCTTGCAACTTGCAGAATTTAAAGGATGTCATCTAATGTCTTGGTGCCAGATATCACATGATATGTTCAGATTTCTTGTAAAATCCATGCCTCTATGCATGAGAGCTGTTTTGGCAGGATGAGGGGGAACTACACAATATAAGGCAGGTGGTATTAATGTTGTGGCTGATCATGTTGGTATAATATAATACTTGTATTCCTAAAATAAAGTCTTATGTTTAAATATCATCATCTAAACCTCTTTGCAGCAAAATGTCTCAGATGAGCACTTTCAAGCTTAAAAAAAATAGTGTACTATTGGACTCATGAAGATCTGTACCAATGCCATAGGAATGCGCATTTATTGACATTATGCAGAGATTGCAAGTACTGATGGTCCCTGACAACTAGCACATAATCAATGACTCAGCCAACCATTACTGTGCCAGAGACGCTGTGGTTCTGAGAGGATAATGAGGGTCCAAATGACAGGAGCAATTCTCAGTGAGTGACTCTGCGAAGAATGCTCTGTCAGTCATTGATATTATGGTTCAGATTGAGGAGATCAGGGATGACTCACCCTGGCATTGCAGATGTATGTCCTATAATGTTCCTAACATCTGAATAGGTGCTTTGTCAGCCTTTAAGAAATATAATAACTGTTGTGTCCTAAATGTTGCATTGTGAAATCTAGTTCAAAAACATATGCACTGTCAAGATTAGCTATCAGGGAGTAAATGTGTTGTTATATACAAACCAGTCTAACACTGACAGCATCTATAACATATTTAATACTGATAAGATTTGTCAAAAGGTTTAATATTCTCTGTTGTAATTTTACAAAACAAAAATACCAGTGTCCTTCTCCCTGCCCTTGTTTATCCAATGTAGCCACTGGATCCATCCTCAGGTAAGGAAGGTATACATTAACTACTGACGTATATGGGCATCTACGTTAGTCTTTTGCCTTGATAATGTCAATTAAAATAAGAGAATGTTTGTCCAAAAAAAATAAATAATAATAATAAAAAAATTATATATATATGAAACACACCAGTGTTTAGTATACATAGCCCCAATGAAAACATGCATGCATTTAATTATGAATTTTTCTCATTGGGAGTATATTTAAAATGGCTTACAAAAGTTACAGATCTTCTGTGTCTAGTCTTTGAAATTCCTCTCCTTCTTCCCCCAGAAATTCTGTGGCTCCCCAATCACAGACTTCTGATGCAGCTCAAAAAGACATATTTGCCAAACAGGTGCTCTGAGCAATTGCTGCCTCTTGAGTTAAGCTCCACCGAGCTAAACAACCAGGAAGTAACAGGACTGGTTGTCTGATTGACAGCTGGGGGGGTGTAACAAGCATAATTTGTAAAAGGGACAATTTCTACTAAAATCTGCAGTTTTTGTAAAATAAAAATAAAGATGGCACTCTTCACACATAAAGTATTTCGGCAAGCTAAAGTTCTCTAGTGTTTAGTGTCTGTAGTGTCCATTTAACCCCTTAGTGACAGATCGTTTTTCAACTTTCTTACCATTAAGGTCCAGGGCAGTTTTTACATTTCTGTGGTGTTTGTGTTTAGCTGTAATTTTCCTCTTACTAATTTACTGTACCCACACATATTATATACTGTTTTTCTCGCCAGTCTTTCTAAAGATACCATTATTTTCATCATATCATATAATTTACTATAAAATATGATGAAAAAATAAAAAAACACACTTTTTCTACCCTGTTCCTTAAAATCTACAACCGTCAAAAAACACCCATGCTAAATAGTTTCTAAATTTTTTGTCCTGAGTTTAGAAATGCCCAATGTTAACATGTTCTTAGCTTTTTTGGAAAGTCATAGCGCTTGTGACGAGACCAATCTCGCCACATTGCATTGGAGAAGCCTGATTGCTCGCCTGCTGCCTTTGGACTATGGCTCCCTGTTAAAAGACATCTTTTTTTTACCTGCAGAAAAGCTGCATTCGTGCTTTTCTGCCTGGGGTTCGGTAGATTTGTTTGAATGTGTTACACCCCAGATAGGAATCCCATGGAGCCCATTCGTATGAAACTGACTGTAAAGACTTTGGCTCCATGGCGATTAAACTGTATTCGTGTGGTCTGTGCGCCATTCGCTTAATAATGTGCGCTCAGACCTGAGCTATCTGGG